CAGTCTGCGCGCTTCACGTCGGCGTCTTCGTTCTCTGCGAGAGAGGGGGAGGGGCGGCGACCGTGCCCGTCGGTAAAACAGCGTCTGCCTGGCGCCCCGATGCCTCCAATGCAAAGGCCAAGGACACCGTAATGGGACGTTCGCCAAGGGCAGAATCTCTAATAACGGATGGCACGTCCTCAACCCTGCCCCACGGGCCAGGTCCCACGAATACCACATCTACTTCTCGCGGCCAGTGGGTCATCATCCCCTCATCTGCACAGCGGGTCACGCGTGGGGACTTCTAGCCCACAGCCGACCAGAGGGCGTGGAGGCTCAGGGAGCTGAAGGAGGCCCCTCGGTAAACATCAGGAAGATTTTTAACTCCAGCGCCCATTATCTTTCTGCCTCGCAACCCTGCCTCCCCCTCAGGCGCCCCCAAGACTGAGCCTGGAACTGGAAGCCCGGTGCATGACGCCCCCGCGTGACGGACGCCACCTCCGTTTAATCGCCCTACCTGGGAAGGTTCCTCCTGGGAGCTGCCACCCGTCGCAGTCCTGAGCCTCGCCCTCCCCTTCCAGCCGAGAGATCACGTCCGGCTTCGGGAACGGGAACTCTGTTCACAGGAAGTGACAAAGGTAGCAGCCGCGTTACCGTCTGGAGCACGCGCAAAATCAGTCCTTGGTAGCACTTACCCCCCAGCCCCGCTCTCTCTACAGGGAGATTTAGGAAAGATGGGGGAAGGGCCTAGGATGCTTAAGAAATGTGATGGGAAACAGGGTGTCCAAGGGAACTCACGGGTCTCACTAAGGAGGGCTAGCCCTGATGACGCCGGTGACAGTGGCAGTTAGCAGGGCAGGGGGTGGATAGAGCCTTTGACACTAATGGCCACTGTCACACCCACACGTGCAAACTGGGACATCCCTCCCGATGCTTACACTGATAGTGTGGCCATCAGTGCCGGGCGGGGAGCAAGGATTCCTTGGGGGTATGTCCCCAAGCTTCCGAGGCGGACAGAGTGGCAAGGAGGCTGCCCCCATCCTAAGGAACATGGGAGGGACAGGCCCAGGCCCGCGGTGACGTCCGCTAGGCTATGTCTTCTTCCCAGTTTTGATGCGAACGCCTGCGTGAATGAGGGCGGTTCTGAGAGCCCCATGTGCTGCTGACCAGGACGCCCTGTCCACGTCCCTGCCAAGCTCGAACCCAGAAGACGTGCAGGGCACATGCTCTGGAGGGAGGGGCATCAGGGGCATGGGGCAATGACGGGGCCCGGGGCTGCTGGGAGCCGCTGGAGCACGAGCCTCACCCAGGGACAGGACGGTGTCGTAGTTCATCCTCATGACCTCCCGGTAGAGGGCCCGCTGCGGCTCTGTCAGCACATCCCACTCCTCGTCGGAAAAGTAGATGGCCACCTCGTCAAACAGGGCGGGCACCTGCAGCAGGACGGGCCCTTCTCAACGGGGTGGCACGGGCCGACCAGCTCACACCTTCGCCTCACGGGGCGGGGCCTTGGCGGGGGGGAACGGTCTGTCCACCTACACGGCCACGAGCGGCACAAGACACGCGCACAGGTCCCCCACACCCGCTCGGGTCATAGACAAGGCAGCAGCACCTCGAGAACCCCCCAGCTACCGAAGCCCAGGCCAGCAGACAGTCCTGCCAGAGCCAGACTGCGGACACCCCGAGGACCGTCCCCAGCGTGGTGCTCAGAGGGCCTGACCCTCTCCGTCGGGTGGAGCCGGGGCGGGCTGGGCCTGTAAGTGCCACGGGAGGGATCGCCGCCTGCCTGGACCTCGGTGCTCCCGGCACTGCTGGGATTCTGAACAGTGCTGGATTCTGAACCCAAAGCAGCCTGGGGGCCAGCGGCCTGTCCCAGGGCACAAGAGCACGAGAAGGAGACGGGCTGGCAGGAGCCTGGACGTGTGTGGGGACGTACAGAGCAAGCCCCCTGCCTGGACCTGGCAGCAAGCCCCAGGGACGGCCGGCTGCCCGCCACCCTTGGCCCACGCGGCTCCCCTGGTGGCAGGGGGTGCCCAGCAGCAAAGGCAGCCGAGCCACCAAACCAACCTACCCCTGTTCACTCAACCATTTGCTTTTCTTGTCGCTACGTTTTGTCTTTCGGTCACCAAAAACCCCACTCCGAGGTCATCCTATTCAATGCTAAGAAGTCACTGGGCCACTCATTTCCAGCCGGTTACTTGGTGTCACTGCTCCCAAAGCTGAATGTAGGGGCCAGAAGGTTATTTGATGTTTTTTATCAGCTTAGAACGTTGCCGTCTGCCCAGCCTGCAGCTTCTTCTGGTGTCTGGTCATCTGTCCCTTAGACACACCGGCCCCTCCTCCTTGTTCCCCAAGTGCACTATCCCCTCCCTGCCCTGAGAGCACCGCACACAGAGGCAGCACCTGCAGGAAATGCCCGTGGATGCTCCGTGTACTTCCCCAGCAATGACCACATTTGATCAAGGAGGGAAGGGGCTCCGAGAGGCCTCGTTTCTGGTCTGAGGTCACACAGCCAGTAAGTGGCCAGGCTGCGATCTGGACTTAGCACCACCTGAATTCCGGACGGCAGCTTCCGCCAGCAGAGGACAGAGCGCGGCCGGCAGGGCCTGGCGCCTCTGATTTGCTTCCTGCCGACGGTCACCACTTAAACACAGTTTCGAATGAAACGCTGAAGCCAAAGCTCTCTGAATTTCCCTTCCTGGCTCCACTTGAAATAGTTTCAAATGATCATTAAGTTTTATCTGTCAGAAAACCGAGCCTGCACTTTGGAGCGAGAGTGGCCCCAAACCCTCAGGTGTGACGTGCCAGGAGGAGCCAACGGACGGGCCCCAGGCCTTGTCCTCAGACTCGAGCGGTCTGGAAGGATGGCCAGTGGGAGTCTTCCACCCACCGCTCCCACGTCCAGGCTCCAGACAACCCCTCGGGCCCTGCTCTCCGGAGGAAGCTCCAGATCTAGGCCATACCTATTTATAGTCCCTCTCCCTTGGCCGACAAAACGGGCTGCGGGACTGGCTGTCCTGCCACTTCAGAGGGCCTGTCCCCTCCCCTCATCGGGAGCTGCCCCTCTGCCCCCCGGAACACAAGTCCCGCCCTCCCGGCCGGGTCCACGCACCACTAGGGCTCGGGCAAAGTCCTTGTCTCCGTTTCTCTACTCGGACCTGTGTGTCTACTCCAGCCCCCTAGGGAACGCTGTCCTCGTGCACAGCGTGGCGCTCACACGCCAACGCCGTCACCGATGACGCTCACTCAGCTCTCTACGACGAAAGCACACATCTCTTCCCCTAGCCTACTGCCCTGGAGCAGGGTTTTCCAGCCTGGGCTGACACGGGGCCAGAGAACTCTTGGATGTTGGCCGTCTTGGGCACCAGGGGTATGTAGCAGCAGCCCAGGCCTCTACCCAGGAGAAGCCAGAAGGATGTCCCATGCCCCAGCCCCGACCCCAAGTCACGAGAATCAAAGATATCTCCGGACTTGGCCAAATGTCCCCAGGAGGGGAGGGAGCTAGGGGCAAAACTGCCCAGCGCTCAATACCAGGTCCGGGCTTGCCTTATCCACAAAGCCTGTTGAGTGGTCCGGCCTGAATGCGACACCCCCAAACTAACACGCCCCCACTGCACTCCGAATACTGTACTAGCAATTACGCTCCCTTCTCTGTCTTCCTCATGAGACCAGCAGCTCCACCAGACGGGATGCTCACTAACTGTGGGAGGACGGCAGAGCGCCCGGAGGCCACCAAGGCCACCCCCTCCTCCAGCTCCTGTCACCTCGTCCTTTCTCAGTGGAGCGTGGTCATCACCTTGTACCTTTCTCACCGTCCCTACACACTCATTCTGGCTGGGCCAGGTCAGCCTCCAAGCCCGGGGCTCCGAGCTACAGAAGACTGACTCCTGCCCTCCTGAGTCACCCAGCTGGACAGGTGGGCGGAGAACACGGAAGAGACCGGAGCAGTGTGGCCTCCACAGCGGGGCCGGTGAACCAGAGCCTGCTGGTGTGTTTGCTCTTATTGAGGTACAGCAGACGCACAGCAAAACACACAAGCAAGTCCAGCTCAGGAGGATTTTTAAGAACCAACGTCAGAGCACATGCGTACCCCGGGGGCGAAGTGGATAAGCTCTCTGCACCCCAGTTCTCCCACGTGGGCGGGGGGCTGGACTGGATGACCCGGGAGAGTCAAGGCTCTGTGAATACTGATCTCTCGCCGGAAACAAAGTATAGTCTGTAGACTGTTAACGTTCACAAGCAAAGGAAAACTAAGTAGAGAAATGTCAATCTGTTGCTTATTTAAAATGTTTACCACTCATACCCAATTATTGTGGAGTCCAGTAAGTACTGCAAATAATTATACCTAATTATAGCTATAAATATCTGTTGCATTGACTCTTTTTTGCAAGTTTACCCCAATTCTCTCACACTATTCTGTGTGGCTACGCTCCGTATTCCCAGCTGCCTCCCAGCCCCACCCCTCCGTCCAGAGCTAGAGGTGCAGCTCTCACGTCAGCCCAGCACCCCTCATGCCCGTTTAACGAGGTTCCCCCTTCCACCAGCCACAGGTGACAGACTCTCCCTCTGCTCACACCTGAGTCAGGCTCCTCTGAGCCTCCCTCTGGGCTCCGCCCCTGTCCCCGGCCCGATCTGCCCAGTTTCAGCAAGAGTGCTGGTAAGTCAGGGAGAACCCCACGCCCGGGACCCCTGACCGCCCCAGCCAGCCAGCCTTCAGTAAGTCCCCGGACCCCACCGTCTCCTCTAGGTGCTCGTCCATCCACTGGTCCCTCCTGTCCGCCTCCTGGCTAAGAATCCCCACTTGTCTTTACTGGATCCGTGTGTGGCCCAATCTCTCTGTTCCCTACTGTGACAGTCTTGACAACAGTCCTCAACAGTCCTTATCACCACGTCAGAGTCATTTTTTTCTTTAACACAGGTCAGCAAGCATACAGGTGGTGTCAACAACGTGCCTGGCACTGAGCAGGGTGCAGGGGACCCGGGGTGCGGGGGAGACCGGGCTGTGGCCCCTTGGCCTCCCCATCCTGCCCACGGCAAGCTGCAGGGCTGCCGGGACTGCTCAGGTAACCAGGTAACCAGGTAACCAGCGCCTCCCTGCCTCACAGCACACTTTTCTCAGGAATGCAAACCCAGGCCTTGGCCGGGCTATTTTTACTTCCTGTCTGCCTGGGAGGAGGCCTACCACAGCCTGGCCCCCCAGGCCGGGCCCTCCCGCCAGGTGTGGCCCCCACTCCTGCTCACTCACTCACCCATCCGCCCTCTGCGCAGATCCGGACTTTCTGCGTGTCCGTGGGGCCACTCTCCAGTGCCCGGCTCTGAATCTCCTCTTCCTGTTCCTCCACTTTCAGGGTCAAATTCAGGGGGCAGCCTGTGGACTCCATGTCTGCAAGCAAGAATCGGTTCAGAAAAAGCCGGTTCTCGTGTGATCTCTTCAACGCCGAGTCCCAGGCCGGCCTGCACGGACCTCCTTGGCCCCAAGCACAGCTGGCTGGAGAGGAGGGGCGGGTGCAGAGGAGGGCCTGGGGTGGGAGTGGGGGAGGGTCTTCGGGGAAAGCACCTGGGAGCTGGTCTCGGATGCATTTAATTGTGCTAAAAAGAGGGGTGGCAGGCAGACAGCGTTACCTGGCTGCCTTCGAGTATTTAGAAAGCTACCTGTGGAGGAGAGAGCAGACTGGTTCTGTGGACACCCAAGGTCAGAAGGTGGGGGGGTAAACATTCCAGAAGAGTGTAGGAAAGGCAGACCTCGCACAGCTAGAGCCGCCCCAACACTGCGAGGCGGGGGGCGGGGGCGCAGGGGTGCTGGACACAGACAGGGCACTTGCTCGGCTGGGTTGTTCCCACAGGCCAGATGAGCCTCAGGAGCTTGGGGAGCCGAGAAGCCCCCGTCACCCGGATTTCCATATTCAAAGGTTCTGTCCCTGAGCCTGTTCGACAAATAGTCATTCTGGAGTTGGTGACACATAGGGGTGGCGCCTGGATACCCACGAAGGTGCAGAAGCTGGTGGCGCCCGGCCCTGGGCCCAGCCACGCTGCCGCTGGGTGCAAGTGCCCCCGTGCCGTGCTCGGAGGCCAGTACAAAGGGCCGCGCCCCCGCCCTCGGGGGCAGGCGGTGCCCAGGTGTGCGGTAGGTGCATCTTGGGAGCCGCATCCTCCCGCGCGCTGCCAGAGAAGATCGCTCCCGAGTTCGAAGTCGGCTTCTGCGGCGAACGCGGCAGGGAGGGGTCCGGGGCGCGCGGGACAGGCTTCAGATCCGTGGGGACCGGGCCCCGACTTGGCCGCGGCCTCCCCGCGGGCTCCCGGGCATGGCGTGGGGAGCGGAGGGCGAGGTGCCCGCAGCCAGGCCTCCGCCCGCCGCCCGCGTCCCCGGAACGCTCGGGTCGCTCCAGCCATCTTGTCCCATTTCCTTCCC